CACCACAGACCAACAACAAATGTAAGAGAGTAAAACCTGCTTAGTATAAAACTGTACATAACATTTTTAAATTTTTCAAAACCACGTAAGTGTGAACCATAAGAACATTGACTTTCAACTGGACTTGGGTACTTTTGAAAATTTAACTATTTTGTCAAAATATTTTTTTAAATTTAATTTTTAGAAAATAATAATAGGAAAACAACTTAAATATGCTCCGCAAAATACATCTTCATCCGAGAATTAAAATGTCACAGAATGCAGCTGGAGTCTGTGCCAAAAAAGTGGGATGTCAGTGGCAAAGACATTATGGCTTCCAGTTTTAAAACCATGTTTATTATGAAAAGTCTGATGAAGAAAAGAAATGCATGGTTAAATATTATTTAAATGGGAAACTTCATAGTTTGTACAGCCCTTGCCATCAGATTTGCTATGACTCAGTTTGTGAACTGATTGATAGCAGTGTTCATATGATCATATGATCAATGGGGGTTGGATCAAGCCATTAGGACATGAGGTGAAAAAAATGCCTAGAAAATGTGGCTTTCCTGATCGACATTTTTTTTTTCAGTGGTGCCATTTAGGGCTAGAATTTTGTAAGTCTCTTCAACAGGAGAAACAGGACAGAGAGTTGGGAGAAGCAGCTGGTATAGGACAGTCCTGAAAAAGTTAGGAATAGCAGGTGAAATTAGAAGCTACCATGACAGTTGGGATCCGAAGGTCTCTTTGCAGTTGGGAATAGCAGTTGGGACCAGAAGATCCTGCTATATTTAGAATTGGGATAGCTGATGAGGGAAGACCTGATTCTTATCTCACACTAGTTTACAATTGTGTAACTCTGTTGATTTCAGTGAAGTTACTCCTGATTTATGCCCCTGTAAGTGAGTCTGAATCAGCCCTAGAAGTCTGAAAAAAAAATTGACAGGAGCAGGATCCCTTTTTACAAGGAGAGAACAGGGAACAGTCACTTAGGAAAGGTCAATAGAAAAGAGAGCAAAGTCTGTAAGAAGAAATGTCAAGGGAGTGAAAGGGAGTTGAGAAAAGAGAGAGCAAAAGAAACTTGTGAAAGCCGGGGGACACAAAGCAAACTGAAATTCACCTGAATAAATATAAATAAATAAAAATAAATATGTAATGGGCTCTCACTGCACTGAGGGTATATGTAGACTTTGAATTGTTGACTGACCTGTCAATATTTCAAATGGAAAAATTAAACATATTAGGCTAGAAAGTCATGTATGTCAGAGCTCTGCTTGGTGCTGTGTGTGTGTGTGTACAAAGGTGACTTTAGGCCAAACTAGTCCCCACAGTAATTTACACTACAGCTTCTTTAAATTCTGCTGGCTTGCAATGGCCCTTATAGGTTCTTCTTTCAGCCCAGGACCACCAACACACTAGGTTCCTCTGGCCTATGACCCTCTCCTCAGCATACCCACTATATTGGGTTTGGTGGGGATATGGTAGGAGTTGATGGCATAGATCACCCCATGCCACATTAATCCTCAGCTACCTATTTAGGGCAGCTTTGTAGACCCTTTGTGCTCACAGAATGATACAATGAAACTTTAGCATGGGCCAGAATCTGGTACATTATTATATTTCCTTCATTTCTCCATAATGAATAAATTTATTGTCTCTTTAACAATAGTTAGTTCCGGCATATTTAAATATGTGTAACCTCCGTGCAGGGTGAAGGTGTTTGAGAAATATAATTGTGTTGGTTTAAGGATCCTGCCACAACCACCAAAATGGACTTGTGTATCATCCATGTGTGCTAAAACAGACCTAGCCCCACAGAAAGAGGATAGAAAGGATACAGGCAGAGACACATCCTGCTTGTTTGGTGTGCTGTCCTGCACACTTGAATACTGTTAGATTATAAAAAAATTGAATATTTCAGAGTTTAATATGCTACAGTCCCAAGTTAAAACAGCTAGGAAACTCCTCCAAGATGGTGTCTGCTGGGATGTAAACTGTCCACTAAAGTTGTAGCTTTGAAAGCCTGATAAAAGTATAAGATGTTCCCTTTTATAATGTATCAAATGAAGGGCTCAAATCTGTATAAAAATGTTTGAGGACAGTTATGGAAACACTCAATTGGAAAATCAGAAATAGAATACAAAATCTTGATATCTGCAAAGTAAGTTTGTTGTTGGTGATAAATGAGTGGACAATCCTGTCTGCTGAATGCGGACATGAATGATCTCATGACTCTTTTTTTAAAGTGTAAAAGTTTACCCCATTATTCTTGTTCCAAATCTCCTCTCCATCATTCTTGTGCAGCATGCTGCATGCCAGATGTCTGTCCACCTAAAAGTGACTGTATTTCAGTGTTGTATATCCCAATATCATTTATGAAATACATTGGGATCATTTGGAAAGAAAAGCACTGTATACAGTAAATTTAATACATTGTTATTTATTACCAGAAACACATCTTCAAAACTTATCCATTCAACAACAATAGCCAAATCGACGTTGGGTGTCTACACAGGTGCATGTGCCTCTGGGAGCAGGGAGAAGGGGTACAGAAGTCATGCTGTCACAGACAGCTGCACCAATTTGAAAAGCAGCAGTGTGCACCACCCACTAGCACAGGCTGTGGTATGCAGGATGTACACTAGCTGGCTTTGGGGTCTGGCCTTGCCCTATGGTCAACAAGCCATACCCCCTGGAATTCTTCATTGACTGGCTGGCGTGGTAGCTAATCACTGTTCTCAACAGACATTTAAGGCTGAAATTCTGCCGAGCAGCAGCTCCATGAAGTTTGGGGATGGGGGTGAGGAAGCTCCGGACCCTGTCCATACACACCATAAGGTAAGATTTGGTCCATAATGTGCTGAAATCCAGTGTACATGAAGCTGATTTATTTTTGGTATAACTCCTTGTTTCTTTGCTTAACTATTTTGCAAAGGGTGAGTATTTAGGGTGCTGACAATGGGAAAGAGAAAGCCATATAGGTGCATTCCTGACCACTTCTTAACAATTCGACTCTGTTCCTAGGTATTGCACAATACAAGTAATAATATAATAGTTATGTAACTGGCATTTTATCTAGATTAATAACTCTAAGAGGAATAGACATTAAGGCTGCAATGATGCCTCTTGTCATCTCTAAGCTCTCCAAATTTTGCTGCAAATATTTCAATGAGAACATTTCATTTTGTGTTTAGATTATTCATATTTAAAATTATTTTACAACTAATGATCATTTGATAATATTCCTTGCAATAGATGAACATTACCTAATGATTTTGTATTAGTTATTCCATGTTTGGCCCCACATAAATGCAAATAAAATTAAAATTCTGTATTGTAATTCAATATTGAAAGTAGTTATGAACGTTGTTATTGCATTTTCTCATATAAATTATCCAACTAAAAGTATCATATCAATAACAGTCTGTTCATTAAATATATTGCCAGCAACATGCATATTAAAGAACTGTTAAACTGTATAGAATATGTAGATTAATTCATGTTCCAATAAATGTATAGAGACCATTAAAAAAACCCAAACCAATCTGGAACCTATAAATATGCACTCTATATTTGGAGTGGAAAAGAGAAAAGATGTTCAAAGATGTTTTAATGAACTGTCCTGGAGATGGCAGCATTGAGTAATTTATTTTTCTAGAATTGGATTGCAACACTTCTCGTATCGTCTTTCACCTTACAGTGAAATAAAAGTTACGCATACAGCACATTTCAGTACTGTAAACGGCAAATCATGTTGAATATTCAGTTTAATTTAGCATATAATGATTTCGGGAAATATATTTAACTGTTTGACACCACATTGGAGAAATTCTACAGGGAATCTCTACTACACAATTCTTCTGTAAAATATAATGATAGCATAGCTTTGCATTTCCAGCAATGATAAATCTCCACTCATCAATAAAAGTCTTTATTCAGGGCCCAACTGCGTCGACAAAAGATAAAATCTGTGATTTGTGGCTCCATGCTAATAGGAAACAAAAATAATAAAATCAGTCACTGCTGAGTTTGAACTATAAACATCCCCAAAAGTGAAAACCACACAAAAATCTTATATTGTCAATGTTGCAGTCAAAATCGGTCTCAAAACTATGCATCCTGTTTTCAATTCCCAGCCCCAAACGTGTCTCTTCTTTGGGCTTATATTATTTAAAACGGCACCGAACTTTGGGGTCCGATTTATATGGAAAACATGCAACATAAAGTTGCATTATTTATTTTAATTTTTTGCTCACGGGGATAGTCTCAGCTCAATGTTCTGAGCCGCCCAGAGGACAACAATCTTACTTCGGCACAGGAGAGTCACTCTGTATTATGTTACAGAAATCTCCAATGCCACAGACATTCGTGAACGGTTTGCGGATGGATTTTATTTGTTTGAGTGGGAAGGAGTTGGGGAAAGGGAGGGGGTTAGGGAGAGGGGGACTTTTCTGTTTTGAATTCAGTGGTTGCATTAACTTCTTTCGATCTTTACCCGCTTTGAAAGGGAAGCCTCAATTGCACTAATATGGTGGAGAGCTGGGATGGGTGCGGGGGGGAGATGATTTTCAGCACCCTTATGTCTATATTGCAGATCAGGCAGCACTGGAGTTTAGACGCAGCTTGAATGTGAAGGTGGGGGGAGGAGGGAGCCTCGTGGTTACAACGCAGCAGCAGCGCCTCGATCAAAGTTGCCACACTGCAGAGATTCACTCACAAGCCCCTAGTTTATAAATAACACGCCAGTGAATGGCGTCTACGCCTTTTTACTACGCTCCACTCCTCAACCTAGCCTGGGCACCTCCCCCCGTGGAGGAGTTGAGGGACAGGCCGCGCTGCCAATAGGAAGGCGGCCCCCCAGGGCGCAGAGCTGCTCAGGGCCCGAAGGTAATTGCAGCCGCAGCGGCACTGAATGAAAGGAGCGGCGGGCGGGGAGGAGGGGGCGGATTGGAATGCCGCGGCACCAGGCTAGGTTGGAGCCTCCCTCGGCTGCTGCTGGGATGGTCCACGCACTGGCGCCGTCACGTGTTTCTCTCCTTGGAGTGAGACTGAGTCTCGGTGGCGGCTGGAGGGGGCCGGACTCATAAACACAGACACCGCCGCTTGTTTGGGTTTGGGGCGCTCCGAAACTCCGAGAAGCAGCCGGAGGAGGAGAAGTCAGCCAGGCAGCCCCAGACCCGCCTTCAGCCTGGGGCACGGGAGGGGGCTTTGCTGTTGGCTTCGGCGCCTTTCCCGACTGGAATGAGGAGGAGGAGGAGGAGGAGGAAGAGAGGATGTTCCTTCCCCACTTGGGCTGCTTCCCCTCCTGCTGCTGCCTGGTTGCATTTTGTGTTGAAATGGCACTTTCTCTTCCTAACGAGATGGGACTGAATGGGGTCGCCAGCCTCCTCACGCATAAGCAGAAGCAGCAGCCTCGGCGCTGATTTTGGGGCTGGGCTGCGTTTTTAGGGGGGGGAGAAGAGGCGTGTGTTTTGGGGTGTAAGCCCCGGACTTTGCAAAACAAACCGCTACCCAGAGGATCTTTAATCTGCTACAGAGATTGCGCTCGCTGAGGCGAAGTTGTGAAGGGGAGGGTGTTTTGGAGCGAAGCAAGGGGGACCCCGTTCCTGCTCCTCTCTACAGAGGAATCCGACCCATACGACTGAAAGATGCGTTTCTTCTCCTCCCCGGCGGCGGCTGCTGGGAGAACTAGACTTTCATCTGGACTGACTGAGACTGGACTCTTTAAGGATATATTGACCCTCCTGAGGGTGATTTGGGCATAAACAGCAATATAAACGCTGCTGTGGTGCTGGAAGCTGCCTCTGCCACTGAACAGCTGCTCTCACCCTGCCAGTATCCCCTCCCCCCATCCCGTTTTGGAGAGGGGATTCCGAGCTAGTTTGCTTTTTTGTTATGATTGTTGTTGCATGAATTGTATTTTACGAGGTTTTTTTTTTTTTCTGCCTTGCTTGGCAGTTTTGGGGGCCTGTGGGCTGATAGCTGCGGTAAAAACACCACCACCTCTCCTTCCACCATGGCTAGCCCCACGGATAATAATGAGGGCTTCTTCTCAGATGTCAGGAAGGTGGGTTACTTGCGCAAACCCAAGAGCATGCATAAACGCTTCTTCGTGCTGAGGGCAGCCAGCGAGTCAGGACCTGCCCGGCTGGAGTACTATGAGAATGAGAAGAAATGGAGACATAAGTCAGGAGCCCCCAAGCGTTCCATCCCACTGGAGAGCTGCTTCAACATCAACAAACGGGCAGACTCCAAGAACAAGCACCTGGTGGCCCTCTATACCAAGGACGAGCACTTTGCCATTGCAGCTGACAGCGAGCCTGAGCAGGAGAGCTGGTACCAAGCCTTGCTGCAGTTGCACAATCGGGCCAAGGGCCACCACCACCTCCATCATCATCGTCACCACCACCACCATAGTGATGTCTCCTTTGGGGGTGGCAGTGCAGGGCTGGGGGAGGCAGGTGACGATAGCTATGGCGAGGTGGTCCCTGGCCCGGCTTTCAAGGAGGTTTGGCAAGTGATCCTGAAACCTAAAGGTCTGGGCCAGACCAAGAACCTGATCGGCATCTACCGCCTGTGCCTGACCAACAAAACCATCAGCTTTGTGAAGCTGAACTCAGATGCAGCTGCTGTGGTATTGCAGCTGCTCAACATCCGCCGCTGTGGCCACTCAGAGAACTTCTTTTTCATAGAGGTTGGGCGTTCAGCGGTGACTGGGCCTGGTGAGTTCTGGATGCAGGTGGATGATTCAGTGGTGGCACAGAACATGCATGAGACCATCCTGGAAGCCATGCGGGCCATGAGTGAGGAATTCCGGCCCCGTAGCAAGAGCCAGTCCTCTTCCAACTGCTCCAATCCCATCTCTGTGCCCCTCCGCAGCAGACACCATGTCAACAACCCCCCACCCAGCCAGGTGGGGCTCAGTCGCAGGTCCAGGACTGAGAGTGTGACTGCTACCTCCCCTGCTGGGGGTGGTGGTGGTGGAGGAGGAGGAACAGGGGGCAAACCCAGCTCTTTCCGAGTCCGAGCCTCTAGTGATGGGGAAGGAACTATGTCCAGGCCTGCCTCTGTGGATGGCAGCCCAGTAAGTCCCAGTGCCAACCGGACCCACTCACATCGGCACCGTGGCAACTCCAGGCTTCACCCTCCACTCAACCACAGTCGCTCCATCCCAATGCCTTCTTCACGCTGTTCCCCTTCAGCCACCAGCCCAGTCAGCCTGTCATCCAGCAGCACCAGTGGCCATGGCTCCACCTCAGACTGCCTCTTCCCACGCAGGTCCAGTGCTTCGGTATCAGGCTCCCCCAGTGATGGTGGTTTCATCTCCTCCGACGAATATGGCTCCAGCCCCTGCGATTTCCGCAGCTCTTTTCGCAGTGTGACTCCAGACTCTCTGGGTCACACCCCGCCAGCACGGGGGGATGAGGAGCTCAACAACTACATTTGTATGGGGGGCAAGGCTGCCTCGTCCTGCAGCTTGGCAGCTCCCAATGGCCACTTCATCCCTCGCAGTTGCCACCCACAGCATCAGCAGTGCCGCTATCCTGGCACCCCATGCTGCCCCCGGAGTGGTGGAGAGGAGGTAACTGACCTGGAGAAGGGCTTCAGGAAGCGGACTCACTCTGCAGGCACCTCGCCCACCATCTCCCACCAGAAGACACCCTCACAGTCTTCAGTAGCCTCCATTGAGGAGTACACGGAAATGCTGCCTTCCTACCCTTGTGGTGGCAACCGGCTGCCCTCCTACCGGCACTCTGCCTTTGTGCCCACTCACTCCTATCCTGAGGAGCATTTGGAGATGCACCACTTGGAGGGCAGCCACCACCGGACCAACTCCACCCCACACACTGATGACGGCTACATGCCAATGTCGCCTGGGGTGGCCCCTGTGCCCAGCAGTGGTGGCACTCCCAAAGGTGGTGACTATATGCCCATGAGCCCCAAGAGCGTGTCAGCCCCACAGCAGATCATCAACCCTGGCAGGGGGGGTCGCCACACCCAAGCCATGGTGGACTCCAATGGGTACATGATGATGTCCCCTAGTGGCAGCTGTTCGCCTGACGGTGGTCCCGCCGGCTATGGCAAAATGTGGACAAATGGGGCTGGCCACCACCCAAAGCTCTCGGTAGAGAGCAGCGAAGGGAAGCTCCCATGCAGCGGCAGTGACTACATCAACATGTCCCCAGCCAGCGGCTCAGCCACCAGCACCCCCCCGGACTGCTACTTCGCAAGCTCGGAGCCGCCGGGCCCGGAGGAGGCCTCGGCGCAGGGCCCGGCCGAGCCCCCCCACAAGCCCATCTACTCCTACTTCTCCTTGCCGCGCTCCTTCAAACACGTGCAGCGCAGGGCAGCCGAGGAGAGCGGCCCCCAGCTGCGCATCTCCCTCAGCTCCGGCCGCTTGCTCTACGCCGCGGAGGACTCGTCCTCTTCCACCAGCAGCGACAGCCTCGGCGGAGGCGGGGGCCAAGAGGGCGCCGGAGGTCCCTACCAGGCGCAGCCCCCGCCGCCGCAGCAGCCTACCCGTCAGGCGGCCGCGCAAAGCAGGAGCCGCCTGACCAGACCCACCCGCTTGTCCCTGGACGGCCCCAAGGCCAGCACCCTGCCGCGGGCGCGGGAGCAGCCCCCGCTGCTGCTGCCGCCGGAGCCCAAGAGCCCCGGCGAGTACGTGAACATTGAGTTCGTGGCCAGTGACAAGCCAGCTTTCCCGTCGGCCGCGCGGCCCCGAGGGGACGAAGGCTCCGAGTACATGAACATGGAGCTGGGGCCGCCGCGGGCTGCCTGCCAAGCCGGCTTCGCAGCCGTACGGGCGGCAGCTGCGGCCCGGCCAGGCCGAGGAGCTGCTGCTCTCAGCAGCCGGGACTATGTGACTATGGAACAGGGGGGTGGTGTCGGGGGGCCCTGCCCGGGCTGCACCGACCCCCCGTCCCCCGCGCTCTTGCTCAACTACGCCGACATGCGGACGGGCCGCGGCGTCCCGGAGAACCCCCCTGCTGCCCCTGCCTCCGCCCAGGCGCAGCCGCCGGCCGAGCTGGCAGCGGCGCCACCGCGCTCCTCCTCCCTGATGGGAGGCCCGGGGGTGAACAGCGCCTTCACCCGCGTCAGCCTCAGCCCCGGCCGCAATCAGAGCGCCAAAGTGATCCGCGCCGACCCGCAGGGGGGCCGCCGGCGGCACAGCTCCGAGACTTTCTCCTCCACCCCCAGCACCGCCCGCGGCACGGCGGGCACCGGCGGCCTCAACGCGCCCTTGCTCTACGGGGCGGGCGGGGCGGGGGGCGCGGAGGAGGTGAAACGCCACAGCTCGGCCTCCTTCGAGAACGTCTGGCTCCGGCCTGCCTTGGGGGAGCTGGGGGCGGCCGCCAGGAGGGAGCAGCAGCCCCTCGGGGCCGGGGGTGGCTTTGAGAACGGACTCAACTACATCGACCTGGACTTAGTGAAGGATTTTAATCAGCGTCGCCAACACCCCCACCACCCCCAGGAGGGCACCTCTGTGCTGGTGGGGAGGCAGCCGCCGCCCCCCAAAGCCCCTAATCAGCCTTGTGGGAGTAGCCATTCTAGCGACGATTTGAGTGCATATGCCAGCATCAGCTTCCAGAGGCGGGAGGACGTCTAATAGCTGGGCAAGAGCCAGAGAGAAGGTGAGTGCACAGGGAGGGGGAAAGGGCGTTTAAACGAGTAGAAACGCCCACTTAAAACTGAGCCCAAAAGGCCAGCAAAAATCAGGCACATAGGTGTTGGAGGTTGTTCAGACCACTGAACTGTGTCCTAAAGGGATAGCTTAAGGTGCGGTCTGTACTGTTCTCTTGTTTTCTTGGAACGTCGTTTTTCTCTTGTTTCCTTGCACGTTCACATCCTACTCTCAAATAGAGCCCTTAAAGTGCGTGGAGTGCTTGTTGAGGCGTGGGAAGAAGATCCAGGTTCACTCACTGAGTTAATCTTTTGATAGCTGCGGTTTCAAATATTGCACAATTAAGGGTCTGTGGTGAAAAATAAACCAAAAATAGACCTAAGCATGGTCCCTACTTAACTGATAACAAACATATAGGTTGGATAAAGTCTGGAACGGTGATTAATCCGTTGAAGCTTATTTCTTATAGAGGAGGTTTTTGTAATTAGATTGGTGTGGTGATTTTTGTAAGCTAGATAGTATGTTCTTAGAACTGAAAATATTTTTTCCACGTGGGAAGTGTTTTGGAAAATATTGCAGCCACATTAAGTCTCAGAAGTGTTAAATGAATGTTTTGATTCATTTTGATTTTAAATATGCTATTGCTTCCAGAAGCAAAATTATCATTTGACACTGCCTTCTTGAGTCATGGATGCTTTTCAGACTCGACACACTGTAAGCTTGTCCAAGCAATGTGGGGACAGGGGTCTCATGTTTTGTGAACAGTTATGGTGAGGTGGTTCACTCTGTGAAATCTGCTTAAATATTGTTGCTGAGACTAAAGTGCTTTTTAGTTGCACTTTTACCTCACTCGTTTAATCTTTAAGAATACATAATAAAAGACCCAGTAAGTGGAGGGAGAGGGTGTGGGGGAGAGGATGTAAAAGAAAGAGGTGTGGTCTATGTTGAACATGGGAGTGGGGATCAGATTCAGAAGCTCCTATATTCTAAGCTTAGTTGTGGCCAGTTATGACTCCTGTATCCATAGGCAAACGAATTAACCTTTCTGACTCATTTTGCCCATGTGTAAAATGTGTGTATCTACCTCACAGGGTTGCTGTGAGGTTAATTAGGTAGTATTTGCAAAGTGCTTTAAAGGGACTCCATGACAGTGTGTTTAAAAAAAACTTGTGTTTAGACTGATATTGATACTAAATATAATTTAGCAAAGGACAATTTTATAAGTATCTGCAAACTGCAGAAGAAGCAAATGGTGTAGAGTGGACTCTGATTATAAGCTTAAAATGTTTGAAAATGAACAAATTAAAAATAATCTAGGCAAAATTTGTCAGCCTGTTGTATTAAGACTGTCATTACAAGGTGTGCCTAGGACAAGGAATACTTTTGCAACCAATGTGATGGATCTGCCAAATAGAAACTGAATACAGAGTATACACTTAAGAAATACAAAGTGTGTGTGTTTTTTTTTAAATAAAACATTTTCTCCACTAAGTATGTATTGCTGTATAATATTGATATTTTATACAACTGAGTTTTGCTCCAAGGTCTCTATTATGAATAGACAACTCCAATCTAAATGTTAACACCCTTCCTGATCTCTGCAGTTTTTCATGTATTTAACTCCTAGCAATCACTGTACAGTGAACATTTACAACATAATTGGACAAATTCATACTATTTATTTGACTGTAACTGTACTTACACACTTATTCAGTGAATATTTTTTATTGCTGCTTTGCTTGGTGTAAGTACTAACACCACTTGGAGTGGATGTGATAGAAGATTTAACAATCATATGTAGGATTTTCCTTTTACCTGAACTGGTGAGCCTAGTGTAGAAGTGTGAATTGCAAGTACCTGGAAGAAAAACAATACACCCTTTCCCATAGTTGTTACTTTAACATTGTTCAAATAAGTGATAATTGCAAATGTATTATTAAGGTAGTCTTATTTTATCTCATCAGTATATGCTAGACTAGTCATGCCTTTGGGCAGGACTTAAAATTTGGCCAGGGTATTGCCGCAGTGGCAAGGGGTGTGTGCTTTTTGCTTTCCCTGAAAAAATCTGCTCAACATTGGCTATGTTATAGGTTCCTGAAAAATCTGTTTACTACACACGTAGTAGAGTTGTAGAGGCTGGCAGCTAAATGACTTCTCTGCGGATTCCATCTGCATGGCGCATACTCCATTCCCACACAGATTCTGTGGGTGATCTGGTTGTGCATGCACCATTTCCACAGAGCCAAGGGAGCATGCTGCATCCTAGAACTGAGCTGGACTTCCCCTGAAATCCCTTCTTCAGGCTGCTAGGGCTGCACTGATCTGGCACTAGAAAGAATTGAGGGCAGGGAGACGCTCTCTCCTGTGCTTTCATTGCTCTCTTTGCTGGTGCCCCAGGCACTGTGAAGGAGAAGGAGGAAGCAACCTGATCAGAATGCAGAGAGAGGATCAGATGGGTGAGAAGAGGTGTGGGGGCTAGACTGGAGGAGATATGACCTGGGTGTGGCTCAGGGAGGAGGAAAGGGGCAGGAGTCAGGGCAGGGGATAGAGGTGAGTAGGAGCAGAGAAGGATAGAGACAATCTTATGCAATCTTTACTTGGCTCCCTTGTTCATATGCATTATGATGAAATCTTTAAGCCCAAAAATTGGCAAGGAGTTATACACATGATTGCATTCTATAAAATATATATATATATTTATATTTCATAGGACAGCTTTCATCCCCAAAAGGTTTAAATTACTTGGACAGATTTTATTTATCTAGACCAAAATATTTTGTTGTCCCAGGTTGTCAGATCAGGACTCTGAGCATTTTCCAGCTTCTCATTAGCAGGTGAATAAACGTTTGCCACCTTGCCACAACCTCTCTCCCCCCCAAGCCATGTATGTTATACACATTTAACTATATTGAAACATCTTCCATTGTGCATCTCCCTCGAAAATCAGTTATGCCCACTCTAATAGATTTCCCCCTGAACAAATCGCTTGTTTCCAAATCTGTTCTGTTTCTCTGTCCTCCTTGCCCCCATCCATATTCTTGTCCCCATACCTCTTTGCTGCTGCTGTCCCAAGCCCTGCTGCTTTCCTGAGTTTACAGGGGGCTCAAACTTTTAGCTGTTTCTCAATACCAGGGTCCTCTGCTTCTTGCTCCTCTCCCAGCCTGTTAAAGGATCACCAGTTTAAATGCCACCCTGTTCTTTGAGTTCCTTTACAGTGGTTCCAGCTGCTCTAATCCTTCCTTCCTCAGAAAGAACTTCTAGTGCTCTGGCTACTCCCCCCCCACCCCCTTCTTTCTAGAGAAGGAGCCTGTAGCTCTGTGGTTGCACTTACTAGCAACCTTGGTGAGCTGACATACAATTTTTAAGACCTGTGCCAGACAACTGCATTTCCCACCCACCCCCCCCCGCCAGTCTTTCCTCTTCTCTTCCTCGCTTTCTCTCTGTGCTCTTGGGTTTTTCTCTTTTCTGTGTCCTGCCTCTTCTGGTAGCTGTAAACTCTAGTATGGTGAAACTGATAAGATACTTGTAAGTTTCACTTGTATTCTCCTGGGATTTCTCTGTGCAGAACTAGCTGAGGCAACTACTACTTCCTGTGCTTCCGGTGTGGTATTGAGGAGCCTCTCACAGTTGGCAACAGTACGAAGATGAGCAATTGATAGTTGATGTACTGAGTCACAAAACATTTGAAGTATGAAGCCATCTTGAAATTCTTGTGTAATATATTAAGGAAAATTTTCAAATACCTTTTTCTCTAACTTGCGGTTAAAAATAGTTTTATAGCTTTCTTCTAAGTTCATAATTTAAAAAAGTTTGTGGGCTTAAGGAGTTACTTTAAAAATGTAACACATTTATCTGCATGCAATTAAAAAAACTGAAGCACTTCCAAAGACAAAAGGTTCAGAAGCCTCTGTAGCTCTGGGGCAGCAGTAACTTGAACATCAGCAAGATATGCAAGTTATACATGCTACAGCAGTATTATTATAGACTAAATAGGGTGTTTCATAGTGTATGTGCACATTGTTCCCCCCTCAACTAATCATCTGCTAAAACCTAGCCTGTGTGTCACTGTGTGCTTGCAGTTTGTTAAATTACTAGTATATTCTGCACTCTTAAAATATTTTTGTCATTATTCAAACTGCAGACCTATTCCTTTAATGTAGTTATTGTAGATACATGTAACTGTTAGCCTGGACTTCTGACTTACATGGCAGTTTTAGGAAAATTGCTTTCAAGATTTTTCTCTCTGGTTTATAGAGCCCTATAAATTGGGGCTATGTAATCCGAGCTCAAGTAGGCAATAAAATAGCATCCTGTGATACACAGGTTTTGTATTCAGTTAGTATTAAAATCATATTTAGGATCATGTTTAAATTAGAAAAACAAACAAGAAATTCAAAGTTAAGGATGACACTCCTTTTTTAGCTGATAATTGTAAAAATATTTATTCTGGATCGGTTTTATACATTTAACAGCTGGGATGTAGAGCCTTAAAGAACATATGCGACCAACACCTGTGGAGTTGGAATGTAATCTGACCAAGATCTTCAGTGTATTCTGTTACTTATATAACTTAAGGGATGTAGCCTGGTGAACAGCTCAATTTGAAATTTTCAATTAGGAACATACAGGTTATAATGGTTTTGCAAAAATTTGAATACCAGCACTGAGGCTAATTGAATTCACATCTGAATATCCTTTTGATAAAGTTGCTGTGACGGTGGGTGGGTGGGTGGGTGCACATGCATATGTAAAGGAAGGGAATTATTTTTTACTTTTCAAAACGGACTAAATTCAGTATTGATTGTAGAAACTATTTTTAAAAATCTCACGGGAACAGTCTTAAATTCAAAGTTCTGTTTTTCATGACATTCATGTGAAAATAATTTTTTTTCCCCAAAACTAATTAGCTTTTGGACTTAGATTTTGTGTACCAAGTTTCATCCTAGAACAGATCTTTGTATTTGAATTTGAAAATCAAGAAAAGTAGAGCTCAAAATAGAAAAGCTGGCA